GACCTCCCCAGTTAACCAGGACTGCTGTACATAAGCATGTACAGTTGTGAATTACATCCACTGAAGAAGCATGTACCTGCACTTAAACAAAATTAAACTGATCGAGGAATGGCTGTTGGTGTTAATTTGCTGTAAAACTGAGTAGTGAGTTATTATTGTGTCTTTTGTTTGTGAGAGCAGAAGTTGTTCAGAGAGCCATTCTGTCCTTATAAAATAAGAAGCAGGCAAGAAAGTAAATGCAGCAATCCTTTCTCTTAGGTAAATGTTAGATGTCACACTTAACATTTGCAAATATTTCAGGAACAGTTTTACATTTTACTTTATGAATGTCTTTAGTTTTTGTTTTTCATGGACTTTAACGTAGATGTGAATATAGTAGATATGTTTTGAAGCATCTCAGACAGCTTTTGAGACCAACCAGCAGAGTTCCTTCTCATGTTGGGGGGGACTGTTAATATTTGGCATGAAGTCTTGCTGCTTTTCTTTCATCTGTCTGTTCAGCTCTTCTGCTGAAAGGTCACTAACGTTTATTACTTAACGGACTGAATGAGAAAATTAAAACAATCATCAACCTACTTGTTTTCATTCCCAAAAAGCATGACATTTTCCTTCCTGGTGTCGGAGTTCTGAGAAAACCCACATGTTCTCAGTGGATCGCTGGACCATTTTTTATCTGGCTAAAAACCTGACCCGTGTAAGCTCTTTAAAGCTTACACTTTGCAGAGACTCCTGTACTCGTTGAAAGTCATTCAGTCACCAGCTCGGAATCTGGCTGTACCAAGCACGTGGCAGTATGAGTTTGCTGGAAAGCAACAACTGCTTTGAAGTGGGAAATACCACAATCCATCTCATACTGCCCATCCCATTTGACCAAAAAGCCTATTATGGATGATCAGAGGGCTGGAGCACCTCTCCTAAGAAGACAGGCTGAGAGAGTTGGGGTTGTTCAGCCTGGAGAAGAGAAGGCTCTGGGGAGACCTTATAGCAGCCTTCCAGTACCTGAAGGGGGCCTACAAGAAAGCCGGAGAGGGACTTTTTACAAGGGCATGTAGTGATAGAAGAAGGGGTAATGGCTTTAAACTGAAAGAGGGTAGATTTTTATTAGATATAAGGAAGAAATTCTTCACTATGAGGGTGGTGAGGCACTGGAACACGTTGCCCAGAGAAGTTGTGGATGCCCCATCCCTGGAAGTGTTCAAGGCCAGGCTGGATGGGGCTTTGAGCAACCTGGTCTAGTGGAAGGTGTCCCTGCCTATGGCAGAGGGGTTGGAACTAGATGATCTTTAAGGTCCCTTCCAACCCAACCCATTCTATGATTCTATGAATATAAATATGCATATAAATAATTTCTTTCTTTTTGGTTAATGCACACAGTTATATAGCATGTTGAACATACAGTATGTGAACAGTATTTTTCTAAAGCTTCTTTTTTCTGCTCATTTTTTCAGACATTGCCATGGGATCTATGGACGGTAAGCCTGACATTTATCATTGTGAATTGGGATATTTCTGTGCCTCTGATTTTGTTACACCCTAAACTGAGATTATAATGTTTTTACCAAGAGCCAAGATAAAGAATTTACAGATCGTCACAAACACTTTCAAGTATATGAAGCCACTGGGGATCTTTTAAAACACACAACAACAAAAAATAATCTCCGTTGCTTGGCCTACAAAACCAAAATGACATCAGAAGTCTAGGCTAATAAGATTCACAATCATTACAGCTAAGCATGTTGCTTTTATTCTCATGCCTGAATTACAGCTATTAGAGGGTAGGAATGGATGCTAGTCACCTGTTTTAATTATCTGAAGGTGTAGTTCCTCAGGACTGTAGCCTAATGGACAACCGTTTTCTTAAAATTCAGCAGTGAAGAGAGAATTTAAGTTATCTTTGTGGGCATACAGTGAACTGGAGTTATTCACAAAAGAAGCTGCTACTTTAGGAAGCTGCATGAATCCTTCCTTCTTCCTCCTGGTGCCAAATCAGATACAATGATCTGCAGGAAGAAAACAACTCGTTTTTGTGATCTTTCTGTTGACTTTATGTCATGGAGTTAGCTGGGTTGACTTGACGTGGAGCCTGATATGCTCATTTTTGACCTTTTGCAGTTTCAGCCAGCACAGAAATCTGTGGCTGCTGCTCATGCATTCAGATTTGCAGCACTGTTTTGTGAACACATGGTGTATGTGATGTATATTAAATGCTCATCTCTTTGTATTGGGAAAGGTTAAATAAAGCCTGAAAAAACAGTCACGTATGTAGGCTAGCCAAAATTTCAAGGCTGCCAATATCCAGACCAGCTAAAATAACCCAGAAATGTTTTGAATTTATTGCTCTAAACTTACATTAGATAGCTTTATCAATGTCTTCCTTTCACACAGTTTTATTTATAGCTTGTTAATATTATATATGTATTCTGTATTATAGATATTTTCCTCTTTGCTCTAGTTTAAAAAAAAAGAGTAAGTAGTGAGCTTCACAGCTAAACATTTGAAATTAGGGATACTTAACCTTTTACTGAGTTTATCTTAATAAGTAGAGTGCAGAGTGGTTGTTGATCTTCCTCGCAGCATTTGTATCTGTTCAAAGTGGCAGTGTGGACAGCAGGCTTTGTGACTTGGTGCCTTACTCTGTGTGGATGTAAATGCCTTACTCTGTGTGGATGTAAATGCCTCTGCATGGCACAAGGTGATGGAGAATCGGAGCTGCACGTTCAGGGCCCTCTGCACTGCCTGAGTGATGCAGCGATGCCTTAGTGTAAATACAAGTAAGCTCCACTGCCACTTGGGTTGCCTCCTTCCTTGTTCACTGTCTCACAGAGCAACTCCTCTTTTCAATTGAGACATAATAGGATACCTGTGATAAAAATGTCAGTGGCTCACAGAGGAAAGCAAGGTGTGATGAATATTGAATGTACATGTAGAACTTCTTTTATAATGTAATCCAGAGGCTGGAAATGTGGCTTAAATTCAGGGGCCTGTGATTATTCTTCAGTGGAGTAGCAGGAGAGGACCCGCTGCTTCTTCCCCATGCCAATTTGGTAACTGCTGCTGGTTAGAGAACTGCTAATTAAAGAACTGCTGCTGTAACGAAGTACATCGTGTTCTTATTTTCTGTGGTTTATATGTATGATTTTCTTCTATACAGACAAGCAGTGAATTGGTGCAGCCGGTAAGCAAACCTCCCTCCAAAATCGCAACTACTCTAGAGACATGCTTTAATCAGTGTGGTGTAACATATAGTTTTCTGGTTTTGTCTATCAGTGCTGCTCTTTTACATTGCAATCTACTGCCTCCAAATGTTGCAAACCACATAACTTTTCCTTAAATGGCTTAATTTAGTCACTTTCATTCTTTAAATTAAAATTGCTCTAGTAAAATATAAATTTTGTGTTTTCTCATCAAGTCCGCCTTTATCTTTTTCATCTTGTGTTTTTTCTTTGCTTTTCTGTCTGCTTAAAGCCTGATTCTTCAAAAAGTCTTTCCCTGTGTAACCTGGTCATGGAGGAAACCCCAAACAGTGGGTCATCAGAAGATATTAACAGATCTCAAACTAATCTAGGTTCACTCAACTGGGGCCTAGATGTTAGCACACCCAGTATCAGCCAGGAAATTACTGCAGGCAGTTCTTTGCTTTTCGCTGGGGCAGAGCAAACCTCAAGCAAATCCACAGGTACTCTGCCTGCTAGCGTTTGGCCTGCTGTAGGTGAGCAGGAGGATGCTGCACCAGGGTCACCTTCTGTAAACGAAAACCAGAGGACTTCACTGGAGGACCGCTTGGATGCCAACAATGTCCCATGGGAAGATGTGGTGACCAATCAGCCTTTAGAGAACATAACCAGTTTTGAGACACCCATCCTGGGAACCGGTAGCTTGTTGGATGAACCCCTCCCATGTGGTGTGCAAAAGGCAGAGGCAGAGTGGGAGGAAGAAGAGTGGGCAGGTGTCAAACCAAATGAAAAGGTAGAGACCAGAGCTGTTAACTACAAGGAGGTAGAAGGTACAGAGGAACTGGAAGAGCGAGGTTGCGAAACGAAAGGAAACAGTGAGGCAGAACTTCATAAGGATTCAGCAAAATCAGATCTTGACGTTTTAGTCAGCACAGAGGTAGAAAATTTATATGAGTTGGAAGATAATGATGGGGATGCTGGGAGAGCTAGTGGTGCTAACCTAGAAAACCCTAGGGAAGAAGAATTCAAAGGGGTCAATGTCATTGAGGAGGCAGATGGAGAAATACCATGGTTGAGCACAGGGCTGGAAGGTGGAGACAAAATAGTGGTGGACAACTGTAAAACTATAGAAAACACTGGCGCTGAACCTGAGAGAGTCTTTGGTATCTGGGATCAGGACCATGAAAGGACATTTCAGAATGGCTTAGACCAAACTGACAGTGGTACTGGCGGGAGTACATCCATGGAGTGTATAAACATGACGCCACATGTTGACCTAGAGGTAACTGACCACAGAGAAAAGGACCCTACAAATACTGGAAATGTTCTGTGTGATGCTGAATTATTCAGTGCAGAAGAGTCTGGTAAAGGAACCGAAGACAATAGCATCAGCCCCCTCCCAAATGGTAGTGCTGCTGCTGAAGGTCAAGCTGCTGCTGAAAAAGAGTGGGCATTGCTGCCCGAGACAGCTGATGCTGCTAGCACAAGCTGCGGTAATCCTTGCCTAGATAATGCAGAAGACCAAGTGACAGGTAGGGCGGCAGCAGCAGTCGCTGAAGAGCATGCTAGTAGCAGTGGTGTTCCTGAAGCCTTGGAAACAGACCCCTGGCTGGCAAACTGGGATCCAACAGTTACTAATGATTCCTGGGGGTTTTCTAATCCGTCAGATAGCCAAGCCAATGGACTGGATAATTGGCCCTTTTTCCCCAAGCAGCAAGACTCAGAGGAGGGTAACATGGAAAATGTTTGGTTAGGCATTAGTGATAAATGGTCTACACAAGACCTGGGAGGGCCTGATAACAGCTGGGGAGAAGTAGGTGCGAGCATTAGCAATAAAAGTCAGGAGGCACCAGTAAAACAAGGCTTGGCTGGGGAGCAGGCAGGCATTAGCAATCCTGGACCAAGCAAGGAGATAGCTAGACCCTTGGCTCTGTTTCAAATGGGAAATTCCAGAAATGCTAGCACCGAGAGTTCAACTAGTCCTAAAGACAATGAGACCAACAACTCAGATTTATCTGAAGATGAAATTGCTAACCGGAGATATGGATTGTTGTACCAGGAAATTGAGGCTGATAAAGAAGAGGTACCTACCCCAGTGTGTAGCCTAGTCTAGACAAAGAGTTCCTTAGGCCATGCATAACCTTGTCGTTTAAAAACAATCCATTTGTGTGTTTCCCACTGCCCCTCCTAAGCCCGTGCTGTTCTTTTTTTGAAAAATTGCCATGCAACTGTTCATAGTGTGGTGCCCTTCAGCCATGTAACGAAGCAGGCTGACAAAAATGCGTTTCAAAACGGTGAATGAAGCTTTGAACTGTGAAGGCACGTTGTGTCTCGCACGTTTTGTGTTTTATATGTATAGCTTTAAATGCACCTAGTCTTTTTTTAATTATTATTTTATAAAAATACTTAAGTTACTCTGCTTTTTGTTTTTGTTTTTGTTGTTTTCTTTAAGCCTGTGATACCTGTTATCAAATAGCACTGTCGTCAAATTTCTTGCCTTACCCTTCATTTTATTATTTTTTTCTTTTTTTTTTAATGTCTGGCCTATATTTTTATTTTGCAAATAAAAATGTTTTGACTCATGTTCTGATTTACTAATTGTTCTGATCTTCACTTCTACTTAGGCATCAAGCACAGCATTTAATGGATTTGCACAGGTAAAAAATAAACATATTTTGAGATTTTTTTTTTCTGTGCTGTTAGGAAGGGATTAGGACTGGCCGTACAAGTTCAGGAAATCTGTTCTACAGACAAGCTGCACAGCAATGTCATACTGACTCAAATCCAAACCTTGTCTGTTCTCAGAAAGTATTCCTAGATGCTACTAGAATTATGCTAATACTCTTGGTTCTCTTGGCCTGACTGAATTTAATAGCAAAAAACCAACTACCTCAAGGGGACTGATTTTTTCCTCCTAAAAGGACTGGTTTATCTTTTTTATTGTGCTCTTTTGTGGATTTTTCTCACAATCCCAAAATCCTGTATAGCATGGTTTCCTCAGTTTCACATACTTTCAGTGACTCTGTGTGTGTATATATATAATGAGGTTTTTTTTTCTGCATCTTTATTTTCATTTAAGATATATTTTAATCTGAAAGTTAAACCTAAATTATTTGTTTGCTGCTGTGCTGATGGTGAGACTCTGTGTTAGACATCGCAGAGATACAGCGCATGAAGATACCGTGTTTATGCTTTCAAATTCCAGGACTGTGCCAAGATCCGAAATTTCAGGTGGATAACCTAGGGTCTCATTAATTTCCAGCATCCTTTTAGAGACTGGCTCATCCACAGCACACCCTGTACACCATTTTTTAAAAGCACCCAAAAAGGCTGAGCTTATACAAGGATGGAAATGAGTCTTCCAGTGCTTAACCATTCTGCTCCAGGATGTTTAAATTAGTAAAGGATCCAGAAGGAAGGGGCAAAGCACAAGGCTACCACCTCTCAAAATTAAGGCAAAATGTTTGCCCTGTGGAAATCAAAATGTGATGCCCCCACTGCAGTAGGAAAAGGATTTAACCCATCAATATTTTGCAAATTAATTGGTTCTGAATGAGTAACATGTTGGAAAACATCTCCATTTTTATACCTTCTTAATACAGGTAAAATTTTGTATCTGTAATTACTATAGTTACTATTCAAATAAAAGTCCAGAATCAAGAGGATGTGAAAGTAGCTTAGAGCTAGTGTACTCCCCAGGCACAGGTACGTGCAGTCTGCAAAAAAGATTCTGAGTTTCACAACTTAGAAATGCATTGTGGCTGAAACAAAGTCCTTGCAATTCCATGTATTTAATGAAGGGTTTTTCACTGCCTTTAATAACATTGCATGGTTTAGAAGCATAGAACATATAATTGAAAAAGGAATGTCTTTAATATTAATAGTGCTTAACTAATAATTATTATTAATACCTGTTTAGATTATCTATTTGTCATCTTATTCTATGTGAATTTACTTATGACTTTACCTGAATAAACCATTAAAAAAATCAAGTCTTTGATAACACCTGCAAACATCCCGTCTCAAATATCTTTGCATCATTGTTTTTCATTTCTATATCTAGGATACCTCTGCATTTACAGTGCAATCAAATGAGAATGTGACAGAGCCTTTGGTAAGTGGTGGCTTTTGCTTCCTTTTTAAATGCCTTGTAAAAAATGGCACCATTTTTCCTTTGTGCAAAGATATTTTCTCCTTTTTTGTGTTTTCCATCCTCTAAATCACAAAACCTTAACCTGGAAGAGTTGGTGGGTGATATCATTGTAATTGTAAATCTTTACTCATTGAAACAGTCTTTCACAAGGATAGCACAGAGAAAAAGAAAAGAAAACCAGGATATTCTAAGATATGTTTACTTTTCAAAGGTGTGGTCATTTGTTTCATTTATTGCATTTAAGAAATGACAAGGATGAGTACTATGGTCCAGTGTACAGCAAGCAGGTGATAGTACATGATGGCTGTTTAAATATCTCCAGTATTGCTGTAGTTTTATCCACTCTCCACATATTAATAGTAGGCATAGTCTACTTCTAAGGGGTGGAGAATCTTTTTGGAAGTGATCATACCTGGGCAGGTATTTTTAGTTTCTCTTACAGTCTTTGGTTAGCCTGGAGTAAGGATGTGGAATAGCAGCATTGCTGGGTGAGTGCTACACTTAATAGCAGCAGAGTGATACTCAATATTATTTAATGTGGCTTTTGTATAATGCCTCTGGTGATGCTTGTGTTCATAATGGTTATTGAATATGGTGAGAGTATTTTTACTTGTAGCTGAAAGGTGGTAACTAGTCTGAAGACTGCTCATCCGCAAGTGGCTTGAAGCACATCAATGCAATCTGCATTACAACATATTACCTGTGATTTTAAGTTTAAGCTGAAAGTTTCTTCCAGCGTTAAACCTCAGGAAACTCATTAGTCATCTTACCTGGAATAAATCTACTTTGTGTTTCTCATTTCAGTCCTATTTCTTCTTTGTGAAATTCCCTAGAGCTGGCATTAATACACTACACAGGGAGATTTCTGCACAGCATGGTATAATATAATGAATGTTTGTTTATGCTATGCCAAATCCTGAAGGTCTTGCTTAGGCATACTTCTCTGTACCTCATTAAAAATCAGTCTGCTTAAGGAATATGTGAGAAAAGAAGTGAGAGGCTACGGTTTTTTTCCTGAAAAATATCATGGAGGAGAAGATTTTAGTATCTTTAAGAATTTCATGGAAGATGTCTCTTCATCACAGGAGACTTTCTAGCCAGCTGCCTGTTATCAACTGCAAAGCAGCTAAATAGTTTTGAGCTTCATATTATGCTGAGCAATTTGTTCATGGCAAATTAATCTACTGGGGTTATTTTATCTGGTTGAGTCAGCCATCTTTATAAATGGAATATGCTGAGCACAGCTTGCAGCTCTCCCCTTGTATGTATGTGTATTTGCAAAGTGATGTCTCCACCGGAGATCGCACTTTCGCTGTGAGCTATTTTGCCACGGGACTGAACGTGTTGCAGGGCTGGTGATATTTGCTAGATCATCTTGCTAAAAAACAAGCTTAGCCCAGAATTTAAAAGGGTGGAAATCCCAATAGTGGATTGACAAATGGATGCCTTGTAGGTGATTGAGAGCTCAAGAGGGAATGCATTTTTATAAGAAACCAGGGATGATTTTCACACTGCCAGAATTCAAGCAGTCAGTGGTTGCCCTTGTTAATATAAAAACTGTTTGAGTCTCTGCTAATTGCTTCTTACCTTCACTGGAGAAGGGACTATATTGTCTGAGAACAGACAGAACTAGGGAATAGGGGATACTTTTAAAAACTCATATTTGAAGCCCAGGGTTGGTACACACAAGTGCCAGTTTTAACTCCTGGCCTTGCCATCAATTTCTGGAACATTTCTGAGCAAACCAAGTGCCTTCCCCCCACTTCCATTGCCCCTTTCTGTAACTCAGGAAGCTGATGCTTTCTTTCCTTGTGAGGGAGGGATGCAGGACTGGTTCAGTTTACGTAGAGAACATTGAGGATGAAAATGCCCTTTAGATGCTGTAAGGCCAAGCACTGCCGTCCTCTCCCTGGCAAAGCCCGGCAAGATTGAGCCTGAAGCAGCACTGTGCCAGGCACAGTTCCCATTCCCCTCCTCCCTCCCCACTATCACGTGCTCCTCAACAATTTTTCCACTGTCTACTTAAAAATCAATAAAACAAAAGACTGAGGCCGAAGAAGCTCCACCTGGGGAACCCGAGGTCGAGGAAACCCCTGCTGCTGCTCTTGCGGAAGAGGAGGCTGTCCCTGCTGAGCCTGCCGAACCAGCAGAGCAGGCTGCGGTGAGTGACCTGTCCCCCATGCCACCTCCCAGGCCTCATCCGAGCCACCTTTCGTCATGGTGAATGTGCCTGCTGCATTTCAACCATCCTTTCCATTCTTCACCATCCATCCATGGCTGGTTTCCCCAGTACCCGGCTGTGTCACAGCATGCCTCTCCAGCACACTTCCTCCTTTCAGTCCTAAAATGTCATTCCTCTTATGTTTGGCATTTCAGACTGAAGTTCAGCTGAGTGATTGTGGTTTCACAGATTGTTTGATTCCAGATGAACTTCAGAAGGGGAAAGAATTGATGCCATTTTTAAATGACCTTATTAGCAGTTTTCTCATTTCATTTCAAGCTGAGCTGTAAGCACTAAGCCAATGTACATCTTATATGAGCCTTGCTAGAGCATGAAAATACCAGAAAAAAAGTGATTGTAATATGAATGTCTACAAGGCTCATGGTTTTAGGACCCAGCTGTGAGCTGAAGAGGGAACTCCAAGTGCCAGTTCGGAGATTTTTACATGTCAGCATTCAGGATACAATGGGAAGAGAAGAAGTGACAGCTTTGCAAGAAGAACAAAGCAGGGCACCCGATATCACTACAAATTAAGAGGTGGTCTGTGATGGTAGGCATGGGGTTTTTCTGCTGACTAGGATCCCTTTTTATAACAGGTATCCTAATGAATATCCTTTTCATGCAGCTGAGGTTCCTCTTCTACATACTGCTGTGAGAAGGTCTTGGAGGTGGGCGATACCCGCAGGCTAAGAAACCCTGGAGTAAATAT